ATACTGAATCAGCTGTCACCACTGTCTCAAGCTCTCTGAAGTCTTGCTGGGCGCAATCAACACTAGCCCTGGCTTCGCCAGTGGCCACTGCCACCTGGGACAGCAAGTGACTGCAGGTAACTGCAGAGTAACCAAAATCATAAAATCTGAAGTTTCTGAAAGAGCCATACGCGATATCAAAAGAGCCATAAATGGCTCGCGAGCCATGGGTTGCCGACCCCTGCGCTAGTGTATTTTTGCAATTAATTGTCAATCTTCCAAAAATTGTGTCATTTCGCATGGATTTCAGCCCGCACTGTATTTTATTATGGCTTCTCCGCAGGTGCAAGTCACCAGTATGTATAGCAAATGCATTCTTACTTACCCAATCCTCTCGTCCTATAAATGTATGTGCAACTGCGTTCTCATAGTTAGGGGAAAAAGAATATATTCTGCCGCAAACATCCACGTAAAATCAGACTTTTGTAGATGGGACTACGTGAATAATATTCTCCCACGAAATAAAATTGCCTGACGCCCGATTACAGGAGGCGCCATTGGCCCTGCGTTGGATTGGATATTTATTCTTGCTGATATATGACACCCTCAGATTTCCTAAACTCCGCGAATGTTCGAAAAAATTATTGAGAAAATGTAGTAACTACTGAAAAGAACTATCGTGAGATGTGCAGTTTCGCTCGGCCCTTGACTTTAATGCTTGGGAATTAATTTTTAAAACATTTTATTCTTTAAAATTGGGAGTATGGCGCCTACCTCTGTCTCCCATTTCTCATTATTATCAGTGCACTATAGGTAGTATTTCTAGAAATAACTGATTTGCAGGGTTTAAGGAGAGATTGAATGTGAATTCGCAAGTGGATGCTTTCGTTGAAGTTTGTCCCTTAATAAAAGAGCATTAGTAAATGCGTGGGCATAAACTTTCGGGTCCTAAATCTGATATCTAAACTTCGTATTATATTTGCAGATCCTTCCCCTTAAGCGGTCTTGTGCTATAGTTAAGACGTAGGTTACTGTTCATTCCATCCTGCAATAAAATAGAGTAAATTGATTCTAGACTATCAATATTACATTCTTCTATGGAAACGTTTAGTCCAGATAGCAGGCTTTGTTTCCGAAACTTTTATATGCCTTTGACGATACTGATTTGGTTTCAAGACCTTTTCGACCTCAGGTTTAGTAACTTATAAAGCATTATGTGTCAGTTAAATAAGTTGTTCTATAAGGTAATGACTGATATTGGATCGAGGGGAATTTAGCCAGAACCTCCTTTTTAGAGAAGGAAATACTTTCCATAATAGGCACTTTTCAACATTAATAATTTGCCCGTGAAGTTCATTGAATCGTTAAGTATTATAAGCATTACTTTTATTTTTATTTCGTATTAGAATTTCATGGCTCTCAGTAATTTTTAAGAAATGCCCGCAAAAATGCATGGCTAATTCTGGCTTATTTGGCATTATCTACATGACATGCTGAAATATGGGATCGTTGACCTCGTCATTTAAAACTAGATTGATTCATCATCAAACAAAGCGGCACAAATAGCACCACCATGTTTAATTATGGATATTTTGCGGATTCTGAAGAAGCCTCGTAAAGGTTTGACGGGGCCTCAACAACGTACCCTAAATCACTGGAAGCATGTTATGCCAAAAGCAGACGCAACCGGAATCAGTGAAGTAAACCGGTCTTCTGCGTCTACAAGTATGCTCTGCAGGCCAGATATTTACCTCGGCCTCAGGTCATTTAACCTGCTAACTGCATGTCATTCCTTGCGCCTTCTTCTCCTCCCTGAAACGACTCTGTTCATCCTTATCTTCATCCACGCTGTTTAAGTAGCCAACTGGTTTCATGCTGACTGACTGCGCTGCTATCACCCACACGCAAAGATAAAAAATAGTTTTCTTAAGCACTCAAATTCTTTGCCTTGAATGTAAGGGTGGACTCCCAGTTTAGATCTCTCATATGTTCATATACGCCTTCATGTGCTCCTGTTAGACAGGTTAAATTTGTCGAAGAACTAGACGCCTACACAAATAGATTCGAGAGACCTATCCTGTCTGGCTAAATCAAGGCATTGTAAAATTCCTGTCTAGAGCAAGTGTGGCTCAATGGATTGACAATGGCCACAAAGTTTTCCTGACCCAATATAAACTCGGCATCTTTGTTTACACCCCTGCCACGTCGCGTTACAGCAAAAATCGGAGACACTGCTAATTGTCAGAGACCTCCTTCCAGTTCTGCCTCCCCCTCCTTGTCCTCAGCCTGGCGGAAGTAAATTATAACCCCTGCCCTCTGAACGCCCTCAGCCCTCTCTTCACACTTACTGGCTGTTTAAACTTTTGTTATTCGATCCTCCCTTATACTAATATACAGTCCTGAAGATAAAAATCTAGAGTGTACGTTTGCCGAAGTTGGCTTCTAAGACCATCGAGGTATTCTTTCACTCTGCCAAAATCCTGCTAGCGTGAAACAATCAGCACTATTTGATTCGAAATATGTGTTTTACTAGATTCTTATAATCCATGTGATCCATTTTTGAAAAACTAGACGGCCTCAGTTGAAATCGAAACCATGAAAGCAAGGGCATGGCCTGAGTACGGTCAGCGCTCTAACCTACTGAGCTAGGAACTGAAACACGTTTCACATCAATTTGACTTGTTGATCCACTGCAACATGTGAAATCTACCAATACCGCTACGATAAGATGACTGTTCGGTTCTTCAATCCCTAGGCGCATACGTCCTCTCGCCAAATTGTCTTTGAAAACATTGACGATTAGGCAAGTAGCACG